ATCTTGGCATCAAAAATATCCACTTGCTCTCTAACAGGAAAACATCCCACAAGTGTCAGGTATAATTCAAGCAGAGGGAAAAACATTCAGCTGGGTAGTTACAATCCCCCAATTATATCACTCAATGTTTACAGTCCTCAACGGCTTTTTCGGCTTTTTTTTTACCTTTTTATTAATGCGGTTATAGAAGAGCTTATTTAGCAGCCAATTAAGAATATCAACTTGTTCAGAGAATGGAACACGCCGACGCCACACCAGCGGTCAAGCCGACGCCACACCAGCGGTCAAGCCGACGCCACACCAGCGGTCAAGCCGACGCCTGGGATCAACCCGACGCCATCAGTGGGTTGCTAGTTGGTCTGGTCAACCAGGCTGCTGGACGCAGCTGCTCGCAGCCTGACGTATGGGATCACAGCCTGGTTGATCGGCTATCCTTTTGGAGAATTGCATCACGTTCTCTTCTGAACACCGTTATAGGTGGGCCCAGTTATGCCCCTTATGTTTTGAGGCAAAGTAACTGTGTACTCGCATAGATGTACTCACCTAGTTATACTAGCTTAGATGTGCTTGCGGGGTCGAGCTAGGCTCCAAGCCCCGCCTTCCAAATGTTCATAGGTTAATGTAAATGATTCTTTCTCACGCTCTTATATACATCTAAAAATATGAATCAAATTAGCTTCAACGACTTGTGTGTTTAGCCTATTCCGTTTAAAAAGCGAGCGTGCGAGCGCGTGTACACACACATACATACATCACTTTCCTGTGTGTACACAGGAAATACACTTTCCTAACTCTCACACTAAGGGGAGGTAGGAAAGCCATGATCACCACCTACAAAATTCTGAGGAATTGACAAGGTTGACAAAGACAAGCTATTTGGCACGGGTGGAATACGAACAAGGGGACACAGGTGGAAGCTGAGTAACCCATATGAGCCACTGAGACACAGAATTTTGTCAGTGTCAGAGCAGTTATCAAACAGAATGGATTAGGCAGTGATGTGATGGAGGCTGACTCATCACATCACCCTGTTACCGAACCAGTATTTACCCAAGTCTTTCCAGAGTCTGAACTTATCCAATTTATACCCGTTGAAATGTGCAACAATATTTCACACGGCCTATTACTCTATCCATACGGTAGGCCTACACTGCACGGTATACCTGGAACATACCTGGGAAGGGTTTCCGGAGTTGTTCTACTCCCCGAGCCCGGCCTGAGGCCAGGCTCGACTTGTCATAACTGTTAATTACCACAATTATGATAATTGATAATTATACCTCAAGGTATACCTTGAGGTTTACCGTAGTGTCTTGTGCTTGACAACCAGCAACGACTGGAGTACAACGACTGGAGTACAATTTCACCGTTCAATGTGGGGAGCAAACTTCAGTATCTAGCAATAACCCACCTGCTCAATACAAAGACTTAGTAGCAGGTAAATAAATCCCTCAACCCCCAGAACCCCCTCCCCCCATCCCCAGACCCCTCCCCCCCCGTCACTCCTACAGCAGACCCCCGCCAAGCTCTCACTTACCAATACACAAACGTTCAGACACTGGAGAACTTGCCAAGAACGCTATACAAAAACTCCCCTGCCACCCGACCCGAGCAACGCAGCTAAGGCACGAACTCAACATCGGTGCAATGTGATTAGAAATATTCGTTGCTAAAAATGCACTAGTCAATTTAAAATAATTTCCAGATGCCCCGCCAAAAAAAAAAATAGATTACAAAGCAATTTTAAAATTAATATATTCATAGCTGTTCCGCTTTTAGTCAATTATCGTCATGTTGTCAAGCGGAAGCTAATTAGGAAATTTCGTGCATAATGGCAAAGAATCTTGACGACACTACGTAATAATGTGATTAGAACTCATTGGATAGTTCAGTCACCCGTTAACATGCTATCTTGAGGTTATCTTGAGATGATTTCGGGGCTTTCTAGTGTCCCCGCGGCCCGGTCCTCGACCAGGCCTCCACCCCCAGGAAGCAGCCCGTGACAGCTGACTAACACCCAGGTACCTATTTACTGCTAGGTAACAGGGACATAGGGTGAAAGAAACTCTGGCCATTGTGTCTGGTGCTTCGTCAAATGGATTCAAACTGGTATATTTCATCAGGTTTTTTCCACGTATCAAAATGAACGTATCGCAGTTATACAAGAATGCTGTATTAATTGTATTATTTAATGCATTAGCAAAAAATCGCATCGAGGATATTCCATTGCCATCAAAACTTTTTACCTATAAAACTCATTCGTGAAATAACCGAAATACTCTACCACCTCTATTAAAATCTAATGGTTTGGCAGTGTTGGTATACAAATGGACACTACCATCTTCTTGAGATGATTTCGGGGCTTAGTGTCCCCGCGGCCCGGTCGTCGACCAGGCCTCCACATCCCAGGCTACATCCATCATTGAGAGGATGATACACAGAACATTAATTGTTGCAATGATAACAACCTTCCTAACTAATTAAACGTGACAGTTACTTATTCCTCATAACAATAACTTAAATTATCACTAAGATCATCCGCGTGGTTATCTTGAGGTTCATATTATAAAAGACTAATTAAAAAAATTATAGTGAAGAGCAGAGGTGCCATAGACACAATCAGAGAACACTGTATAAACATCAGAGGTCCAGTGAAGAGCAGAGGTGCCATAGACACAATCAGAGAACACTGTATAAACATCAGAGGTCCAGTGAAGAGCAGAGGTGCCATAGGCACAATCAGAGAACACTGTATAAACATCAGAGGTCCAGTGAAGAGCAGAGGTGCCATAGACACAATCAGAGAACACTGTATAAACATCAGAGGTCCAGTGAAGAGCAGAGGTGCCATAGGCACAATCAGAGAACACTGTATAAACATCAGAGGTCCAGTGAAGAGCAGAGGTGCCATAGACACAATCAGAGAACACTGTATAAACATCAGAGGTCCAGGGAAGAGCAGAGGTGCCATAGACACAATCAGAGAACACTGTATAAACATCAGAGGTCCGCGGTTGTTCAACGTCCTCCCAGCGAGCATAAGAAATATTGCCGGAACAACCGTGGACATCTTCAAGAGGAAACTAGATTTATTCCTTCAAGGAGTGCCGGACCAACCGGGCTGTGGTGGGTATGTGGGCCTGCGGGCCGCTCCAAGCAACAGCCTGGTGGACCAAACTCTCACAAGTCAAGCCTGGCCTCGGGCCGGGCTTGGGGAGTAGAACAACTCCCAGAACCCCATCAACCAGGTATCAACTAGTGATACGTTTTCCGAGCAAATATATATATATTTTATTTATATATACAAGAATTCTTACATTCTAGTACAGCCACTAGCACGCACAGCGTTTTAACAAATGTATTACAATGATGTAATATATGTATTATTAAGACCGTCCAGCTATTTAGTGACAAAAAATTCTCAAAAGTTATTTTTTTTCCAGTCATTTTTCAACAGTATTTGGAAAGCAGAAAAGCGCGAGATATTTTTATTGGAAAATGTAGATACAATTCTCAGCTCCGGCTATGAAGTGACGCTTGAGGTCGACTCTACAACTCGTCCTCCTTATAGAACGTCGTATTTTGACGTACGACTCAACCCCAAAGGTCAAAAATTGTCATACTAGAAAATAGTAGCGGCTGGCGAAATTTGACATACTCTCCCGTCCCAGTGGCCCAACCACTTGGGTTGGACGGTAGAGCGACGGTCTCGCTTAATGCAGGTCGGCGTTCAATCCCCCGACCGTCCACAAGTGGTTGGGCACCATTCCTTCCCTCCCACCGTCCCATCCCAAATCCTTATCCTGATCCCTTCCCAGTGCTATATAGTCGTCATAGCTTGGCGCTTTCCCGACAATTACCTTCCCTTACAGTCCACTACGGGCTCACCATAGCCCGTGCTACTTGGAACTTTTTGTTCCAGGTAGTGATTCTTAAACAACAACAACCTTCCCTCTTCCCGTCGCAGTGATTCAGTTAGGAATGTCCAATAGTTATAATTATTGGGCACATTTGATTAAACAATTTACACTCTACAGTCTCCGTGGTGTAGTGGTAAGACACTCGCCTGGCGTTCCGCGAGCGCTATGTCATGGGTTCGTATCCTGGCCGGGGAGGATTTACTGGGCGCAATTCCTTAACTGTGGCCTCTGTTTAACGCAACAGTAAAATGTGTACTTGGATGAAAAAACGATTCTTCGCGGCAGGGGATCGTATTCCAGGGACCATAGGATTAAGGACTTGCCCGAAACGCTACGCGTACTAGTGGCTCTACAAGAATGTAACAACTCTTGTATATATCTCAAAAAAAAAAAAAAAAAAAAAAAAAAAAAAAAAAATTATCTTCACTTGCTGTGACAGACTTGATATGCAGTGATTCAGTAAGCGGAGTCTTTAAGCGGATCCAGAATGACTTGAGTGAATTGAGATGCAGTCTACAATTAAACATACGATTTAATGAATGAGTTATGATTCAACACCACTGGTTCACACGGCATTAGAGAGATGGCATTAACATTGTATTCAGTACCGGGGTATTATAGTGTAGAGCAAGCTACCTAGGCCTATACCAAAGTAGTAATTAAGTATAATAGGCTAGATAAGTTTAGCGTGGGAGCATATCAACATTCCTGTGTCAAAGCCTCGCCAATTTACACCAAACTATTGACTGATTAAACATCCCCAGGTTAAAGCCTATAATATTTTGAGCTTAAAAATACATTTTATACAAACATACTGTACATACATGCATACATACATAATACCAGCTGATTGACAGTTGAGAGGCGGGACCAAAGAGCCAAAGCTCAACCCCCGCAAGCACAAATAGGTGAGTACATATGTACACACACACACAGATAAAGGAATATAGTTTAAATAAGTGGATTTTGGAGAACAAATAACCAGATAACTGAACTCTTACGTCTTGCTAACCTAAAATACAATATATACATAGGTCTATTATATACCTGTATACATACTCACACCCTTCTTCTATTTACCTTCGTTTGTTCCTTTCAAATAGATTGGCCAACCACCGTGACAAACGTTACCTGGAAGGAAGAACAAGTAATTAGAGACGTGTAATGATTTTAAAATTTATTGAAAAAATGTAATGAAAAAATGAATTAAAAAAAATGATTAAAAAAATGTAATTAACCATTAAAATATAGATTTTAATGAAAAGATGATCGTCTACACAAGTAGCGACCTGATATTAAGACAATAATATACCGGACAGCACGCTGGACTTGTGATCCTGTGGTCCTGGGTTCGATCCCGGGCGCCGGCGAGAAACAATGGGTAGAGTTTCTTTCACCCTATGCCCCTGTTACCTAGCAGTAAAATAGGTACCTGGGTGTTAGTCAGCTGTCACGGGCTGCTTCCTGGGGTGGATGCCTGGTCGAGGACCGGGCCGCGGGGACACTAAAGCCCCGAAATCATCAAGATAACCTCAAGATACAACACCACAACCCTTGCACACGGTCACAACACCCTCTGCTCACTCATGCAAGGCCACGGTAACAGACTAAGTAACAGGGGCATAGGGTGAAAAACTCTGCCCATTGTTTCTCGCCGGCGCCTGGGATTGAACCCAGGACCACAGGATCACAAGTCCAGCGTGCTGTCCGCTCGGCCGGCCGGCTCCCCTAGGTAACCAAGATCTTTCTGGCACACGACAAGCGGTCTTCTACGGGGTTTCCTTTTGTTCTAGTTTGATACGATACTACGATACTTTTTCTCATTCGATTATGTGTACACGTGTCGACAAAATGTTCCAGTTCGCGCGAGAGGTAAGGAGTGTTTCCAGCATCTTAGTGGGGGCAGACTTGCCCATGTCTGCTGATCTGTCGTCGCTGGAGCTCTGTCCTGCTTGATACCTGGTTGATGGGGTTCTGGGAATTCTTCTACTCCCCAAGCCCGGCCCGAGGCCAGTCTTGACTGTCGCCACCATCCCCACCCACACACCACATTCCCCTCCCTCCCTCCCCCTCCCTTGCCTCTATCAACTAGTCTTAAGTAAAAACTTTCCCAACAGTCGTAAAACTATTAACCCCTTAAGCTACAATGGCAGGATTAAACACTTCTCGAAATTTCAACAGAAAGGGTTCACGTTTCGTGGAAAACAAGAACTGGCTATTTCAGCAGACATGTGAAAGGGACAAGCAAACACAGCTATTTAGACATAAGATAGCAATATATTTACTAGACCACACACTAGAAGGTGAAGGGACGACGACGTTACAGTCCGTCCTGGACCACTCTCAAGTCGATTGTCGACTTGAGAATGGTCCAGGACGGACCGAAACGTCGTCGTCCCTTCACCTTCTAGTGTGTGGTCTGCTCAACATACAATAACATAGCCACGTTATTGTGACTCATCGCCTGCATAGCAATATATTTCGAGTTGTATTTAATGACCAAACAAAACATGGGTAGTTTAAACCAGTGAAGAGAGGCGGGTTGCTTTGTGCGATAGGCACACACACACACACTGCACCAGTAGGGTCAACAATTGAGAGGCGGGAGCAAAGAGCCGAAGCTCAACCCACCGCAAGCACAACTAGGCAAGTATACTGCCTGCCCTCAATACTTCCTGAGGCGCCTGGCGAGCTCGTCAAACTCTCAGGACCTCTGGGTAAAGGTTATGTCCCCTTCCTACCCCCACTCTCTCCTCCTTCCAACCATCACCTTCTCCTTTATCTTTAGCTCTCATCTGGGGCCAGATCCACGAAGCAGTTACGCAAGCACTTACGAACCTGTTGACCAGACCACACACTAGAAAGTGAAGGGACGACGACGTTTCGGACCATTCTCAAGTCAATAGGACGGACTGAAACGTCATCCCTTCACTTTCTAGTGTGTGGTCTGGTCAACATACTTCAGCCACGTTATTGTGACTCATCGCAAGCACTTACGAACCTGTACGTCTTTTTATCAATCTTTGGCGGCTATGTTTACAATTATTTAACAGTTAATGAGCTCCGAAGCACCAGGAGTTTGTAACAACAGTTGATTGGCAAGTTTTCATGTTTGTAAACTGTTTAATAAATGTAACCAAAGCCGTCAAAGATTGAGGAAAGATGTACAGGTTTGTAAGTACTTGCGCAACTGCTTCGTGAATCTGGCCCCTGGTCTTCAACCACGGGTCGGGCTGGGGGAGAAGAACTCTCGGAACCCCATCCAGGTACAACGTCAAGCTACCGCCTGGCCAGAAAACTCTGCAATCGTCTTATAAGTCAGTTCCCTGGAAACACAAACCGAAACTGTCTATTTTCCGCTTGTAACAACTTTATTACAAGTTGTTACATCTTGGCTTAACGTGTTTATGACGTATTAGAACGTTGTTACAACATGCTATATTGGTTGTTATAACTGGTTAGGTGGTGTTAAAACTTGTTCGAACGTTGTACCAACGTCGTAGTTTCGGTGTGTGTTTGGCGGGTTCGCAGTTAGGGTCGAGTGAACAGCGCGAAGGAACGGTGTCCAATCATCCTGAAACATTCGCATTCAGGTCCTCTTGCTTGCGAAGCCTTTGTGTGCTAACCATTACACCACAAGGTCCACTATGCACAACCATAATACCTCTACATTGATTTGGAAAACTTAATACTATGCCAACAAATAATTATGCAGGTCACAATAACTTGGTTGAAGAAATGATAATCAACCTCACCAGCGGGCCGCTCCAAGCAACAGCCTGGTGGACCAAACTCTCACAAGTCAAGCCTGGCCTCGAGCCGGGCTTGGCGAGTAGACAAACTCCCAGAACCCCATCAACCAGGTAAGCAGGTATAAACTTAAACTCTTAAGATGGAGAAGCCACGACGTTTCGGTCCGTCCTGGACCATTACAAGACAATTACTCTGACCCAATTACCAATACTCTGACCCAAGAGCCAGAGCTCAACCTCCGCACGCACAAACAGACAAGTACAATGGTCCGAAACGTCAGTGTCTCCATCTTCAGAGTAGTAGTTTACTCAGCAATAAATAATTATATACAAGACCCAAGGTTATGGATCTCTTGAAGCTCCTCCGCTTCCGGACAGGAACCGAGGATGCAGCAGGCATTTCCCCTCTGGATCGCCACACTCAGGCGCTGACCCAAGTACTGTAATTCACTTATTTTCGCTTCTCGCTACTCACCATGCTTTACCCAGCGCTTAGGATTCGAACCCTCATCAAGGCTCCTATAGATTTGTTCTTTAATATATCACGGTATTGTCATTTCTCTGTGTACTGAATCGCGTTATAATGTATAACTAAAACATGTATGCTTAATAACCGATTGCCAAGGCTGGTTAATGGTTCATATAGTGCAGGATTTTCAGCACAAAATAGCCTATCGTTTTGCTGGTCAAACACCCAAATACTTCGATTGCAAAGTATTATTATACAACATATACAATTATAATACATCATCGAGGCTTAATGATCATTTATTAAACAATCTTTTATATTGGCTAGTGGAAGACTATTTTTAGATTTTGATTTGTGTATTCAGGTAAGGGTTACCGTACCTACCTGTATGTGTACCTACACATACAGGTACACACTGTATGTGTACCTACACATACAGGTACACACTGTTTGTGTACCTACACATACAGGTACACACTGTATGTGTACCTACACATACAGGTACACACTATGTGTACCTACACATACAGGTACACACTGTATGTGTACCTACACATACAGGTACACACTGTATGTGTACCTACACATACAGGTACACACTGTATGTATACCTACAATGTATGTACCTAGGGTACACCCAATGAGTTACATACATAAATGTTGGATTTAAAGATAGAGATAGTACATACAATACCTAAAGCCACTAGTATGCATAACATTTCGGGCAACTTGCGTGTTGCAACAGTCACTTGTGTGGGGGAGGGAGGGAGGGGGGGAGTTGCAACAGCCACTAGTGGGGGGGGGAGCAACAATCACTCACACTAAACAATCACTCACACTACAGGAAGACTCCTCGGCCTCCTGCAGTGACTGGAATATGCTTCTGTGGTGTGTAACTACCCAACGACCTCGTCTGATATGACCCCTCAAGAACAGTTAGCTCAGCCAGGTTATATAGATTAACATTACCAATGACACTTCAATCCTACATATTAAGGAAATGAAGCATTTACCTTGCACTTCTCAGCCACTTTGGGCAGGACGGTAGAGTGACAAGTGTCGCTTCATGCAATTAAATCTCCCCCCCCCACCCCACCCTCCACACTCTCTGGGTGGGTGGGTGTGTGTGTGTGTGTGTGTGTGTGTGTGTGTGTGTGTGTGTGTGTGTGTGTGTGTGTGTGTGTGTGTGTGTGTGTGTGTGTGTGTGTGTGTGTGTGTGTGTGTGTGTGTGTGTGTGTGTGGGGGGGGGGGGGGGGGGGGGGGGGGGTGAGAAAGATGATCTTCGTGAGCTAGTGTGTGAGAGGGTGGCCTTGTCTGCACCCTTCCCTCTCCCCCACTATTCCCCCCTCCTCCTCCTCCCCCCCCCACCCCCCTCCTCACCTTCCTAGTCAGCTTCCGCCCCCCCCCGTCCCCCCTGCTAGCTGGCTGGCTGGCTGGTTCTCTCCCCCCACCCACCCCCCGAGTCTTCCTTCCCATCAGGCTACGTATCCAAGTTGTCACAACGGACAGAAAATGACGTATCAAATCATCCGAGTCTAACCGACGCAGCCCGTCCTTGCATGCAAAGATCCAAGCTCGTTAATCCAGCCGCCAACCCCTCCAACCCCTTGTTTATATGAATGAAAAACGGTTTACACACGACTCACAACTGATGACGTCCGAACACTTACGGACCAAGTGCTTCGCTCACGTCCTCTGTTCGAACCACAATTCTTTAAATGCTTCACCCAGAAGCGCCTGACAGCTGGGTGGACAGCGCTTCGGATTCGTAGTCCTGAGGTTCCGGGTTCGATCCCCGGTGTAGGCGGGGACAAATGGGCAAAATGTTTCTTTCACCCTAATGCCCCTGCTACGTAGCAGTAAATAGGTACCTGGGAGTTAGACAGCTGCTACGGGCAGTTTCCCGGTGA